AACAAACAAACAAACAAATATTTCAGTTTCATTTTATTTTTCTTATCGGAATCATCTTTCCTTTTTTAGGCATGACAAAAAGATCAAAGATCTTGAAGACAAAATCAATCAGATCGAAACAGAACTCGAGGGAAAAAAATCCGATCTGTTGTGCCAGATATGTTTCGAGCGCTATCGTGACTGCATCTTGATGCCCTGCTCACACCTGTTATACTGTCAGACGTGTATAGCCAAGCTACATGCTGATGGTAAGCCTGCCCGATGTCCTGTCTGCCGAGGACCTATCAATAGTCAGATCAATTGTAATCTTAACCAATTAGAACAAGCCTGACAGTCACGTGGGTAGAGATTTAGAATACAGGTTAATATAGAGTAGATTTTTTGGTAAGCTTGCCCGATGTCCTGTCTGCCGAGGACCTATCAATAGTCCGGATCAATTGTAATTTTAACCAATTAGAACAAGTCTGACAGTCACGTGGGTAGAGATTTAGTATACAGGTGTATAGGGTAGATTTTGTATGACTATGAAACRCCACTGCGCACTAAACGTTCACGGTAGAAATTGGAGAATAAAACCAATCACGAAGCGCGAGAACTGCAGCAACTGATCTACCAACACTGAGCTATCATTGCACGGTAGCGGGCGTCCGCGCAGGTGTCTTAGAGAATATAAACAGCACTGCGCACTTCACAGTCTTGGTAGAAATTGGATTCTTGCAACCAATCACAGCGCGTAAAATTCACTGAAAATCCACGGAACGTCGCGTCCGTATCACGAGTTTTTCAGAAAGACATAATTTGCTCCAAAAACTCACCTTCGGCTGAGGCGTTCTTAGTGCGCGCCCTATCTTGTCGTAGAGAAGAGGCGTTTGTTTTATTGCTGGTCGCACATTTCGGATAGATTCCGTCGATTTATTTTGGAATGGAAGTGATATTCATTTAGGCGATGTTTACGACTTTTTATGTGTTTTTCGTTCACTCAATAATGATACACATTCCACATGGCCGTGGTAAAAGACTATAATAACATTAACTTAATACCTTCCCTCTTAGCTCCTGGCAAACATATATGCAATTTTATTTTGCTTAGTTAAAATCTGGCTTGTGTGAAAATAAAAGTATGTTCAGGTCATGTACTTGGTATGATCGTATCTGCAATTGTCCGCAATACTGGTCACGTGACAGTAGTCTTTGAAATTGGCCATAATGCTTTTCGTTCTATTAGTATCTTTTGGTATTCGCTAACGAAAAAAAAGCCAAAGGTGGAACGAGCGAATCTGTATTTATTTTCTCTGGTTTAACGACCTTTAACGGTGCGAGCGCAATCGCATTCTCTAAAGCCCGCATTCTGATTGGTCAGCACCGAGGTAAGGGACCGGATGCGCGCATGGACTATAGACTGAKTGCACCTTTTTTTCCGTGCCGGAGGGAGGTTGAAACTTGTCGCCTACAGGCAGACCTTCATCATCACCAGGTGTTACCACGTTTAAGTCCACGTAGAGGCGATAATGGCTTGCTAGATCTGAGGTGCATATGACGTCTCATTTCTTAGATTGACTCAAAAATCTCTCAAGGATACGGTATTCTTGGAAATTACTTTTACTTATTTCATTTCTTTTTTGGTTGATTCTGTTTTCACGGTTTTGTTTTTGTCTTGTTTTGTTTTGTCTTGTTTAGTTTTGTTTTGGTGTCTATTTTTAACTCACATCTGCCAAACCTACATATGTGGAAGGCTAGAGGCCAAAAGGACTGAATATCCAAACATAATTTTTCCTTTCGTGTCGCCATAATTTATATTTTTTACATTAATTCACAGACAACGACTTACACCTCCGGGAACGTAGGACAAACAGACTTCCCAAAAAAAACATTGTTAAGTAAGTCTGGTCACGGAAACCACCTCCCCAACCCCATCCCCCCAAGGTAGGAAATGAGATGAAAGAAAAAGAGAGATGTGGGGATAGTGGTAGGGTTGGCAATGGGATTTCTGCTGTGCAAAGTAGTACCGGAAGCGAAAATATAAAGACACCGGAAGTTGAAGTACCCAAGCATGAACAAACGCCATGATGTGGTTTTTCGTTTTTCAAAAAAATAGCAAAGGAAGTTAACATTCTGTATATATATATTATTTCTCGTCATTTTATTTTATTCTTTGTTGTACCCAATGTAAGCTTTTTGTACTTATTACTTTCGCCAGCTGTTCGCTGTTTTGTCGTATTTTTCTAAGTTTACCGAAGATTTCTCGAGGATATTCCGAAATACAGGCGGAGGTAGTACTAGGTAGCCAGGCCGCACGGAATAAAACAACATGAGACAAGAAGGCTGACATAAGACAAAACAATGTGAAAATATGCCTCAAAAAAACCTTCTCTACGCGTCGAGATCTCCTCTTAGGATTACAAAAGACACCCAAACAGATGGTGGAATGCTCAAGACATGAGGATAACTCGGTTAAAAGCTCCATTGGTGTTGAATCATTGAATAATGAGCAGCACAGTTGAAGACTGGCTTCGGTCATTAGGTCTTATACAATATACTCAAGCCTTCTTGGACAATGGCTACGATGAACTGGACATTTGTAAAGAGATTGGAGAGGAAGATTTAGATGCAATTGGAGTGAAAAACGATAAGGATCGTGTAGATATTCTAGGCGCTGTTCGTCGGTTAAAACAGAGCGGTACTGCGGTGTACTTTGTGCTGGAAGAAAACTCTCAAACAATAGTTCCAACACAAAAAAGAGAGAACCTTATACCCTTAAAACTAAAACTGTTGCTCCGGGATAATTTAACTGAAGATAATATAGATCTAACGAAGGAGCCATATACTCTGTCGGTAAGTAATTGACGTCTTAGTTTTGGTGATTATATTTTTACAAGCTTAGAATGATTGCCAACTTTGGAGTTAAGATCACTAGTGACTCAGCCTTTGTTTCATTACCAAGGGTTTATTCCTTTTTTCCCTTACAAAGCCTTAAATGAGGGCTTATATTTCTCCATAGATTAGTTATTTTCTTTATTTTGTACTCTTATGTACACTAAAAATCAATTAGAATGTATATTTGAAGCGAAAAAGTAAACGTGTTTTGAAGGCGATGACAGCATCTCCCAAAATGAGAAACTGTTTTGGCTAAAAATATATAGGCTTACCATAATTCTTTCTTTTTAGATTAGATATTTCTCATAATTAATTACCAAATCCAAAATATTTTGTGGGTTTGATTAGGGACGTTATTGTTTTACGATGCTGAAACAGATACATGGTCTATTGGAGAGATGAACTTTAGAACCTTATTTGAATTAGACGTTAAAACTCCATATATTTTTACATTTATTCATTGAGTTATTACAACACGAATTGCAGATCGTCCAGCAATTTATTGACTGCTAATATTTACTCTAGCACACATCCAAGCTTTAGCTATTTGTTTTGCCCTTTTTGAAAGTTTTTTCTTGTTTCAAATAATTCACATATTTTTTCATTCTATTATTGACTCATTTAGTGGATTGTTGTTGTTTGTCTGTGTGTGTATGATGGATCAATGAATAGGAACATGTGTGCATTATATATGTTAATAAGTATATAACCATATGTTTTTGTGGTTATCGTAATGTTTTTGTTTTTGGGCGTGAAATAGGCTAACATGAAAATTTGTGGCTACATAATCAACTATGTTGTATAAAGATTTTTTGATTCTAGGATTAACACTAGAGAAGGATAAATGCTGCATTAAATATGAATAGGAGTTCAAGCTTTATGGTACCCGCAAGCTGATGCTATAGACGCAAAGTAGTCAAAAAATTATTAATTTTCAAGAAAACAATGACAAACTAAAAGTACATTTTGACGCATATATATCAGGTTAAAGCTAGCATGCTGACGCTACTGATAAATAGGTGAAAATTAACTAGGAATGATTTGAATTTTCAACATTTCCGATCGTGAGATATGCTTCATTTTATGTAATTTCATTTGATATTATTTTCTTTTTATTTCAATAATATTTTAAATTCATGTGATGGGTTATTGGACATTTTTATTCACTATACATGGCTGAAGGGAGGTGCCAATTATATATGTATATAAACATACTTTTCAAGGTGTAGAACTGAAGCCAAACTTATCACACAACTTATTCATTAATACTGTAAAATGTACAATTTTCGAATACTTTTTCCATGGATACCTAACACCAAAAAATGCATCCAATCTATTTTCAACCGATATCTCAATAATAATAATTTTGTTTTGTCCATTTGTAATTAAGCATTTATTGTAGAAATATCTAAAGTTAAAATTAAGGCATCATTTATTTCCTAAATAGATTGAAATTTCTTGGTAATTCTGATTTGTTTTATGAAGGAGTTGATAAGCCTCAGGAATTGTTTTACTGCATTCTTCGTGAGGTTATTCATTACAGTTATATATATATCTTGTTATATATCGATTCTCTTCTTTGTTTGAGGGTTAATTTCATGGTAGTTTTCTCCAGGTTCCCTGATTTTCCTCCCCCTGCTTAACTCATCTTCTAAATTCAACTCGATTCGGTTTTTATTTCTTTATTATTTGAATTTATTTGAAGATTTGCCAAAGGCAGGTAATTTACAAAAGAACACTAAGTTCCCTACGAGGTAGATCACCCAAGAGCTCGAAAGCTTAGACACGAGCCTTTGGGTCAGAATTTAGACCGAGCAATAAACTCATTGGATTCTCTTTTATAAAACTAAAAAGAATGCCGAGCATTCAATTCCCTAACAGAATATCATGTAATGGTATTAAAAAAAGGATAACAATTCATCATCTGAACAGTAAGTTCACCTGCTCATCATTTTTAATGCTAAAGGCCATTTCTTCAAAAGTCTTCAAGTATATAAGTGTATATTAACTTTAACACCCTCTGCTATATACTTCATTTATTTCCTTCCTTAAGTTAATTGTCTGATATGTCATACCATGATATATAGCACTTGATTTTACCAGTTTCCTTTTTCTTTTTGATTGATTGTGTGTCCTATTGCCATTAACACTCTTGTTACAAATTTGCACATGAAAAAAACATCCCTCCTCAGTGTTGTTCACAGYCTGATCTAAAAAATATGGTTCCAAGTTTAGTGCTGCAAATAACAGATTCTCGGTAACCAGACATGATGACTGGCTACATCAGACTGCTTAACATGTGACCCGCCAATGTGACCAGTCAATGTGACCAGTC